CATGGCTCTGAGCCACAACCATCTTTGTTTTGATCTTAGTAGCTGGGCAGGAGAGCGTGGCTATTTTGGGGTGCCAGAAGTAGGCAAGCAACCTCAGCATCAGCCCGCTCCAAAGCCCGTTGAAGCCAACCCACTGGAGGCTTTCCACCAGGTTTCGCAGGGCGTGGATGAGGCTCCAGGAGCTCCAGACACAATGGAATTAAGAAAAAAGGCAAAGGAATTCGGTGTGCAATGTTCCAACACGATCCCGCTATCAGCTCCACTATCTTGAACGTGTACGGTATGCACAGGTCACGGGAGAGACTGACTGGCAACGGCTGCTCCAGTGGGAAGGCAGCGTGCTCCTGCCCGGACCGCTGAGGCGATGGGAGAGGATGCACCGGGGAAATGTGGCTCTGCTCCTCCACGTTGGCATCTGAACCCTGCGGGGACCGAGGGACCTGCTGGAGGAACTGATTCCCGAGCCCAGCTCAGCCTCTTCTCCCCTCCCAGCTTCTTCCCCATATCCAGTCTTGGTAGTGAAGCATGAAGTAACTGCCTCGCTGGATTTTCAGCTTCCTTCTCAGGTGAGAGGGAATGCCAGCGCCGGCTTGGTCAGAGGACCCGAGTTTCCAGCCTCGCAGACGGAGTCAGACTTCCTAGAAAAGACTAAAACAGCGCCCGAGAATGCCAGGGCTGGATGAGCAGTGACAGAAAGGCTGCGATCCTGCCCAGCAGTTATTTTAAGGATGTACACCCCGGGGAAGGAAGGGAGAGGAGTCCTTTGGGGATGAACCAAGAGATCTTAATTAGCATTGGACTTTTTTCTGGCACATGGAGACCCCCCCATCCCGGGAATGGCTGGCAGTGCCCTGGCCATCGCCCCGAAGCATCAGCACTGTGGTGCAGGGAGCGTGGCTGCGGGCATGGGGTGTCCCTTACAGCCATCCCGCGGGCGCCGATGGATGCTCTTGGGCATCAGTGATGCGCTGGGCATACTCAAACCCGGCTCATAGTAAGGGAGCAGCAAAGTAGCTTGGGGAGGAATTTCCAGCTCGGGGAGACGCTGTACAGGCCAGTGATTAAAAAAGGGGTTATTAAAAAAAATTAGAAAGAAAAAAATTAGCTCTGTAGTCGGCATGTCTTCCAGGATCTGTCGTAACAGATTCGTCCGAGCCGGTTAACGGTATTTGCGGTTTGCAAGATGCTACATGTCTGAGGAAGATGACAGACACATTATTATCACCTCTCGGCTGCGATCTGTCTGAACCTGCCCCAGGATGCGGCTCCGCAGCTGCTTGCCGGGGAGCGCAAGGAAATTAGCAGCCGGAGGCAGCACTTTTCTTCTCCCTCTCTTGCCAGGCTAGTGGCTTTATTGGGCTCCATTGACTGCAGTCCTGGACACGTCTTGAGTAGAGCTAATGAGGAGAGTGGAATGTAGAAGAGGAGGAGGAGGAGGCTGGTAGGGAGGTGGTGGGGGGGGAGGATTTGTAGAAAAAGTAATTGTTGAGCAAATCATTTCCTTCAAGAGAGAAAGGAGGACTTGGCTGCGGCCCTCCCGAAGCAGGCAAGTCTAGACGCTTCGGTGTCAACAGTTGAAGATAAATAAGATTTTATCAGCTCCGAATCTGTTGGGACACATCCTTGTAGCGGTTCTGCTGCCCAGGGAGGGCCAGGGGAGATGGACTTCACCGGCAGGTCTTTCCACACAGAAGATTCAGGTTATTTTTCCGCGCGAGGCTGTTGGCATCCATGGGGTAAAACACCTCTCCCCGCGCTGGCTTCGTGCGCAGAAGTAGCTGTGGGTCTGAGCGGCATGGTGACCTCTCCCAGAGCGGGGTCTGGGGACTCTTGGCAGACACTGGGATGAGGTTTAATTCCTTTCTGCAGCCGCATCAGTGGCCGTGAATCGTTGCGGGGCGTTAGCTCGATTGGAGCTTGCGCCGTGTGGCGCATCTCCTCGGATGCAGCGGTGCCAAGAACGCTTTGACAAAGCCCCTCCGTGGCCGATGGCTCCACAGGGCTCTGTCACTCCGGCGTGCCTCTTTCCTGGTACATTCGGCACCGGAGCCGCTCTGTTTTGCCCGAGACGCAGCCGCATTTCAACGCAGAGGTGAAACGAGCCCCATCTAAAGACACTTTGGGGTTCCATGCTGATGGTTAATGCTGATGTACTGCGAGTACTTCAATAATTTGGCTTTTCCAGTTATTCCAAATGCCGTGCGTGGCAGGACAAGTCGCTGTAGCAGGGAAGGGACAGCGGTGGAGGTGCCAATCTACCTTCACCCCAGCAGATGAGGGCTGACACCAAGCTGTGTGACTACAGGGAAACACCCAAAGGAATATACATTTCCTATGAGCCTTGGTGGTAACATAACGGGGGGCAGACCCCAAGGGGCCAAGGGGTAGAGCCAAACTGAGAGTCAAGGCAGGAGGAGCCCTGGGCAGACTGTACCCAGGCTCTTCTGTAGGTGTGAAACCTTGGGGCTGAGGTCTGGAAGTGCTGATGCACCAGCGCCGAGGGAGTGTTGAGGTGTCCTGTGATAACGGCTGGATTTGGTGACCTTAATGGTCTTTTCCAACCTAAAAGATTCTCTGATTCTATTGTTTCCGTGCCCAGGAATGAGTTGCCGGCAGCGTGAGCTCCGACTGCCATGTGCAACCGCTTTTAGGGGGTCAGCGTGTCTCAGCACTGCAGAGGGATACGAGGGACCAGCCCGAGGGTCACCCCTCGTACAGATGGCACAGACCTGGCCATGACTGGAATCCCAAGCAGCGAGGCGGCCGTGCTACCCCGTGATTAAACACCGGCATTTGGATCTCCCGGGTTCCATGAGCGTGGCCGCGCAGGGCACAGCCCTGGCTTCTGTTGCCCGGAGTTCCTTAAGAGTTTGTTGTTGCGGAGGGATCTTTGAAGGCAATCCTGGAGCTGTTAAGACATGATAAGGTTATCAGCGGAGGCACGCCTGCGTGGAGCGGCAGCCTTTCCCCCTGCGGGGCAATCGCTCTGCTATTTAACAGAGATTTATCCGTGTCATAACATGGTATAATGAGAGAATTTGTTACCAAAGAACTCGCTGTAATGCACCTCTACTCTTCCAGAGCAGTTAGATTTCCCAGGCATGTCGAGGGCTGCCCGGGAATGTCTACATGAAAGGATCCTTTGACAGCAGTTGTCAGGATTTTAACACCTGGCAAGGAAGAGACAACCCCCCCTCTCCAAATAACTCTTGTTTTGCCATGTTATCTCCTTAAATCTAGGGTGTTAAACCCCCCACCGCACCATGCTGGGGCAGCTTTCATGGGCCCTGGCCACACCAGAGCATCCTCTTCCATCCGGGCAGTCACCGTGTCCCCAGCAGAGCTCGTGCTTCCAGCTCCAACACAAGCCCGGCTGGATGTGCGGGATTCCCCCGGGAAGCTAACCTGGCTGTGGCGTCACGGTGTAATCAGCCTCATCAGTGCAAAATTTGGGGATTTCAGTGAAAAGCAATGTTTCTGAGCATCCTGGGGCAAGTCCACGTGCTGCCAGTACCAAGGGATAACTTTGCTGTCAAACCCAGCTTCGCACTACGCCTCCCGCTGGCACCTTCCGATGACGGCAGCATCCTCCTGCTCGCCCCAGCGCCGAGCTGCCTCTGACCCCTGGACCCATCCCTGCCAGCCCGCCGGCTTTCCTCACTGGGAGCCGGCTCCTGCTGCCAGCCACAGAATCATGGAATGGTTTGGGTTGAAAGGGACCTCAAAGCCCACCCAGTCCCACCCCCTGCCATGGGCAGGGACACCTTCCACTAGCCCAGATTGCTCCAAGCCTCATCCAGCCTGGCCTTGGACACTTCCAGGGATGGGGCATCCACAGCTTCTCTGGGCAACCTGCCCCAGTGCTTCCCCCCCCTCTCCAGGAAGAATTTCTCCCTCGTATCTCGAATCATTAGCGTTAACATCCTCCCGCGTACTCCGCACGGTGGTATTTTCTTGGCATCGGGCGCTGTGGGGATGAGATAAGATGCTTTGAGCAGGAACATGCCCTGCCATGCAGGGACTGGCTTCTCTCCGCGGCAGGGTTGGGCTCCTGAGAGGCAAACACATTCCTTGTGCGATGGGAACCAGCATGGCACTGGCGAGGCAGAAGGGAATCGCACATCCCCGCAACTGGGAGCTGGGACACGCGTTAATGGGAAGGGGAAGGACATGCTCTGCCTTCCCACCCCTCTTCTCTTGTTCCCTTCCCAATTGCACTGGGAGCTTCCCCTGTGCCGAGCGGGTCTGTGATCTTTCCAAGAGCAATTTGCCTCTCGCTCCCATCCGAGCGCATCCCGCCATGCCCTCACAAGGAGGGGTTTTGTAAGCAGAGCATCCTCCTCCCGTGGCTGCCAGGGGAGCGGTCCCTGCTGCGTCCCCTCTGCACGGCTCTGTCACTGCCAGCGGCTCCACAGGCTGGGGTCTGTGTCCCAGTTGGAATTAAACTCCATCACCTTGCACCATTAGCTGTCATCCCATTAACGACGTTAAGCACCCGTTCCTTAGGCTGTGGTGTGTCGGCACCCTGGGTGCTCCCAGCCCTCGGTTCAGCCAGGAGCTGCGTGTGATAACCAGCTCGGGGTGACGTTCCCAAAATGGGCTGAGTGATGCACGGATGAGGGTTTCCGCTGATTTCCAGCAAGATTTCCTCCGAGCCACAGAGCAGCCGGTGCTGCCACTTTGCCAGAGCACTGGGAAAACGTTTCCTGCGGCACCCGGCTCCGGCTGTATCTGGTTTATGTGGAAAGTGGGAATGATGTAGTGCGAGCAAATTTGCTCCTGTTTAAACCTTCCCAGGGGAAACCCAAGTATTGAGCCTAGGGAATGAGGACTTACTTCAAAGGCAGGCTGAACTTCCTACTGTTGCTGTCCCCCACGACGCCCTAGGAAGCCCCCAGGCAGGGAAGGGACCCCCGCGTTTGCAGGGCAGCAGCAGAGGAAGACGAGGGAGCGTTGCCATGCCGTCGGCATTGACCCGACGGGCGTCTCTTCTTTTCCAGTATTCCCCCCTGCTGAAGAAACTCTACTGCCAGATTGCAAAAACATGTCCCATCCAGATCAAGGTG